TTCAGAACAGTTTGAGAGGTTCTGTCAGATCCTGCCTCTCTCCTTCAGTTTCATTGGTCCTGCCTGACCCCATGAGAGGACCAGATAGCAACCATTTCTCCAGTTATATCATTACTAATAGCCCACTGGGGATGGCACCGTCAATGGGAGTCTGAACGAGGAAGGGAAGACACAGTTGTGATACAGAGGCCCACTGGTGTTTCACTAGTCTGCGTCAGCAACTCTTGTCAGGCTTGACATATTCACCACACCTAACACAGTGTTGTCATAATTGGTATCTAAAAGGTGTTAAGTAAGGTATCATATACAAACTGGTAACATGCTGGTCCTGAAAATCATTGTGTGGTGTATGAACACGGTGTGTACACTAGATGCTAGAATTATGTTCTTTAAATGTGTTTGGGCTTGTGCATTGCTTGCCAGTCTGCCCTAGACAAAGGATGGTGTATTTGCTTGTCTGACCAGTCTGGTCATCAGAAACAATGAAGGTACATTTACACATAAGGTAAACAAAGCTATCAAGCAGGGAAGACGACAGCATGGCATCTACATTCCAGCAGGAGTGAGAACCTTGGAGCTTATTTTTCAAAGAATACATTTCAAAGGTTTACTATAAAAAGAAGGGGAACAAACCCCCTAGTTAGTCTTCACCCGCAGAGTCCAAGAACCCAAGTGCTTTGACTGCTGTGTGCTGGGTCCTGCCTAAGGAACAGGACAGCTATGCTGGAAGAATGACTGGTGAGAAAAACCTCTTTGAACAAATGACTCTAGGTTGTTGCGTTTTAGTCTCAGAAATGTATTTTTTTCCCTTTTGTTTGTTTGCAATGCTTTCTTTTCCTATTCCTTATACTTGGTATCACTTAAACCTATGGCCTTTTCTTAATAAAATTGTTTTACTTTTACCATAAACCAACTCAGTGATTTGACTGAAGTGGAGGATTTCTCCACCCCGCTTAATAAGCTGCTGTGTGTGGTCTCTTGAAAGAAACAGCAAAGTTGAGGTGGTTTTGTGGGTGCTACGCTAGGAAGGGCTGGGCACTGCAGCAACAGACATTCTTGGGGAGAATTCAGAACTGGGAGAGTGTTGGTGTCACTCTGCAAGGAATAACCAGGCTGGTGGAAACCAGGATGAGGCTATTGTGCTGTGAGTACACTGTTGGTGTTAGGGTTCTGATATACAGGGCAGGCAGTGATAAAACCCTTACTTGTCTGGGTTGGATCCCAAAGCGTCAAACCAGTCAATGTTGCATAGAAGTTTAGCATTCTTGTTATAATAATGTAATTTGTTTTCACATGTCCTCAGCACAAGCATCCTCAGTGTATACACAGAGAGGGAGGGGGACGAGCAATTGGAGCCCATCAGCAAGTCCATCATTCCACAAAGGCAGTACAGTGAGTGTGCTTTGCTCTCACACAATGGAAGGAAGATCACATGGAATTCTCCTGTTTGGATTTGTTTTGTGTAAGCACAGAGTTCATTGGAGGGACTGTCCCTACCCTCTCCTGATTCCCACTTTCACTGCTAAATAAAGGCCATAGCCCCTTTCCTTTCCCCTGTTCATTCCCTCTTTTCATGGGCTCCAGAGAGAACAGGAATTGCCCTCACTATGTACATAACAGCTCTGCATTTAGTCAATCACTACAATCTAACCTCAGGCTTCAGAAAGTCACCTGCAAGGGTCAGGAAGGAATTTTTTTCTCGGATTCACATTTGGCCAGCTACATTCTGGGTTGTTTCCCCCCCTCCCCCCAACCTTCATCTGGTATTCACCCACGAAAGCTTATGCTCCAATACATCTGTTCGTTTATAAGGTGCCACAAGACTCTTTGTTGCTTTTTACAGATCCAGACTAACACAGCTACCCCTCTGATACTCAACTCACTTAAGTTCCTTTGAAAATCCCATCCCAAATCTTTTAAATATATCTTGGTCAATTTAATTGGCATATACAATATGTGGTTTTGAAAAAAAAATGTTTGAATAGTTTCATTTTGCCTTTCCAGCCTCTTTGTTCCAAGGGCAGCAGTTTTAGGGCAAAAGGAGAGATGGAGATGGAAAAATGTACACATTACTGCTTCTATCATGAATTTTCCTCCTCAAAAGAAATTAGCCACCCACATAGATTCAACATGCAGCCTGAATGCACCATACCCTGCCATAGGCAGTGGTAGAAAGTTATAGCCACATGTGTACATTGCCTAGCACAATGGACCCTAACTCTACATTTGGGCACCATATTAAAAATGATTCAATTAAATATTTGAACTTTCTCCAACAACGGTAAGCTATTTAAGACTCTGCATTGCCTCAGAGCTTATGGTAGCCACTTTTTATTTCGTTATAATATAGGATGACATAGTAGTAGTCAAATGTCAAGCAGCTTAATAACAATTAAAAATGTAAGGTAAAAGTTGGAGGCTTTTTCTTGTATAAAGCCCACCACACAGAAAGGTATATTATACACTCCTGGGGCAATTCTGTGCCAAAAAGTTAAAAATTCTTGTTAAAAAAATAAAAATTCTGCATATTTTATTTGTCAAAACAACACTATATAATCATGGCAGTTTCAATTATTTTGGTAATTTATTTCAAAATACCTATCAGCAACTATGTTTAACAATACAGACACAAAAAAATTCCCCAAGAAGTAGAGCGTTAAGGAAACCCTTATGACAACTCAATTCCTGTTTCTCTACCCTCTTCCCCCCCAGAGCCCAGCCGGGGGGCCAGACACTCAACCATTCTTCCCAGAGGCCAGCTGCAGGACCTCCCCCCAACCCAGACTCCTGGAACCTTTGCCCCCAAAGCTCAGCTGTGCCCCCACCCCCCCGACACTTGCACGCACCTCCTACCCCCCCAGAGCCCAGTGATCCACAGGGAGAAACATCCTGATGCTGGGTCCTGGGCTGGAATGGAGTTTCCTGCACGCCGCCTCTTTCCTTCAGGGCATGCTGGGAACTGTAGCTACCAGGAATCCTACAGTTCCCTCCCCCCCACCCTCTCCACAGCAGTGTCTTCTATTTGTGAGCTGGGCTCTGCTGGGTCTAGCGCTCCTTAGTGGCCGCTGGCAGCCCTGAAGCCCATTTCTCGGGGGGGGGGGGGGGGGGGGGAGGGAAGAAAGGAAATTCTGAGCATAATACTAATTTCTGTGCAAATTCTACTTTGCGCAATGGCGCAGAATTTCCCCAAGAGTAATTATATAGGATACATTCAACCAGCAGAGCTATTCAAGTGTTTAACAACTGTAGTATCTGTAATATTACTGGTATAAAAAAGTATAACATTTATAAATTGGGTATATTTGGGGATATTGAATGGAACTTTCAAATGTCAATCCATACCCTCCTTTCTTATTACCCACTGTATAAATACAGACCATCCAAATGCTGTGAATGTACCAAACTTTATTATTTCAAACAAACTTCTGTACAAAATAGCCCCATCACACCAGGCAAAGAAATGCACTGACATTTGCAAACAGCACATGACAACTTTAAGAATGCTTTCAGGTTTACATTTTTCTTTATTACACAGCTCTCCTCTTTTGGCAAGTATTAACTTTAGGAAATTTAGCAAATAAAGAATCTACCAGATCCACTACGACTCTGTAGTCCATTTAGCTGACAATGGTGAAAGTACTTTTTTACATTTGGTAAATATCCCTATATTAAACTGTTTCTGATGACATTTGAGTACTCAGCAGCAGCTGTATAGTAGAGTCAGAAGCATTATTATCTGTACTACATTAGCTTCTAGAGGCCCCAATCAGAATTGAGGCCTCAGAGTAATAAGTGCTGTGTAAATATAAAACAGAAGGCAATCCCTACCCCAAGAGCTTACAAACTAAATACTAGCTAAGAACTGACATTGATAAGTAGCTTTGTAGCAGTGCAGTAGTTTCTAGCGTGCAGCGTTATACCTCCAAAACATGAAAGGGCCACATTTTCTGAAGTACATTCATGAAAACTCCAGTGACTGCACAAAAACTCCAGTATGTATACGGATACACAAATCAGGGTTTATGCATATGCCTTAGAGTTTACATGCAAACGTGTAAGCCAAGCATGCAAAATTTAGTGCATGTTTTTGAAAACGTGATCCTCTCTGCTAGAAAATTCACAGCTGCTGCAGGTCACTCAGACACTCAAAAGAGCACTTTGCTGGTTTTGGCAAAAGACCTCTATTACTTCGACTGGAGAAACTAAGAACAAATGCAACTCAGTGAGGAACTCAACTTCTTGAAAGTTGAAGTCACATTTGAAAACAACGGCTAAGTAAGCAACTGAAACTTCGTTAGTACTTTTTATCAGCCAATACCATGTGAAAACTGAGGAGTTTAATTTTAAGGATGTTTACAAATAGCCCAACTCCCAAACACAGTCAAACCCTCTTTATATCACTCCTGCTCTAATGAGGCCAGGTTTACACTAGAAACTTTTGCTGGTATAATAATGTCAGTTAGGGGTGAGGGTGTCTTTACAATGTTTTTGTATCAGCAGAAGGCTCTAGTACAGACACAGTTATACCAGCAAAAAGGCTTTTTGCCCATTTAAGGTATGTCTACACTACAATAAGAGACCTGCGGCTGGCCCATGTTGTGGGGATTGGGGCTATAAAATTGCAGTGTAGATGTTCAGGCTTGGGTTAGAACCAGTAGCGTAGCTGGGGGGCGGAGGGGGGCTCCCCCACTGAGCACAAGTGGTGCCTTGTCAATTTCCTGGCGCCTTTGTATTCACACAGGGGAGTGATTAAAAAACAAAACAAACAAACACCACGCACCACCTGCTGTGACGCTTTTATTTTACTCACCCGGCGGCGGTCCAGGTCTTCGGAGGTGGGACCTTCACTCGCTCCGCAGGTCTTCAGCAGCGGGTCCTTCAGTGCCGCCGAAGACCCCCGGAGCAAGTTAAGGGCCCGCCGCTGAAGACCTGGAGCGCTGCCGGGTGAGTAAAAGCGCTGCAGCGGGTGGCGCTTTTTTTTTTTTTTTTTTTTTGGTATCGCTCCCCCTGTTCCCTCCACCTGCCTACGCCACTGGTTAGAACCCAGGATTTGGGACCCCGCAAGGGGGGAAGGGTCCTGGGCTCCAACCCAAGACCCAACATCTTCACTGCTATTTTATAGCCTGCAGCCCATGCCCTTTGAGACCGTGTCAGTTGACCTGGGCCAGCTGCAGGTGGTTCATTTCAGTGTAGACAGACCCTTAGATTTCATTTGGGGAACTGGCATAAGCTTTCTAATGTACACAAGGCTTTAGTACTTCCTCATTATTCTCCAAGCTTCAGGCATTAGGCCTAAAAGTATTTTTCTTATTCAGTAATACAAGCTTGTCTGAATCTCAGGATAGTCTTGAACTGCATTTTATAAGTAACTACATTAAACCTGAAACAGGATATTAATTTCTCAACTGTGGAACGGCAAGGGTTACATAATAAACCGAAGAGACACAATGTCGTCTTTGGCAAGAGAATGTGTTGGCTGTTATCAGCCAAGCAAGAATGAGCAGTAGGTGGCCACTTTTCCTTCTGCCTAATACAAAACATGTTGTGTCTCATGCAATGGTGCTGAACATTCAAATGACCTTCATTCCATAAAAATTCAATGGAGATCTTTATGTAAAACTAAATTTCCAACAGCACACTAAAAAAGAAATGAGACAATTTCACTTTTAATTCACATTCAATTTCTCCTGCAAGATTTCCCCCCTAGGGTTTAGTCTTTTTGACCTCCATTTTGTCCTTACTACTGCTTACTTCTGTGAAAGAGGCGGCTTTTTTGGATTAAACAAATACAGACAACAACAGACAGTTATAGATGTAGCTGAAGTAAAATGTAAAAAGATAAGGCCAACATGTAAATGGAGATTGTGCTATATAAAGTCAGTCATGTTATGACTAAAGATTCATAGATTTCAGTGATGTGAAGAACATACACACAAGTATTAACACCAATCTGTATTAAATTATGTAAACATACACATCTTCTGTGATCAATACATAGATCCACTTGTCTCAGAAGGGACTACTGAAGCATAGCTCGAATTTGCTTGGAAGTAGATTCATCATTCAGGTGTTTTGTAGTGAACCTAGGAATTATAAACACAAAGTGAAAGCGTAATATACAAATAATGAACATGAATTAGGATATCCTCAAAGCTTTGTTAGCTGTTCTGCAAATTAATATGAAGTTTTACAAAATGTAGTAGGTTTATGTATATTAAACATGATTTCCTCACTTTCCCTATGGAAAACAAAGCTACTGCTGGGAACATAACTCTAAAATGGAAGGTGTAATTGTATGGTTTGATATTAACACTTTCATAGAAGACAGTCAGTGGTTCCATTATCATTCATCCATTTCATCTCCATTACAAATCTCAAAACAATCTCATTAATTTTGCTAAGAAATAATCAAAATATATTCGGCTCGTTTGGAATCTTCGTTTAGTACACGTGTGCCAAAGGCAGCATGCGAGCTGATTTTCAGTGGCACTCGCACTGCCCGGGTCCTGGCCACCGGTTCGGGGGGCTCTGCATTTTAATTTTAAATGAAGCTTCTTAAACATTTTAAAAACCTTGTTTACTTTACATACAACAACAGTTTAGTTATATATTATAAACTTATAGAAAGAGACCTTCTAAAAATGTTAAAATGTATTACTGGCACGTGAAACCTTAAATTACAGTGAATAAATGAAGACTCGGCACACCACTTCTGAAAGGTTGCCAACCCCTGGTTTAGTACATTTACTTACCTTGGGGTATGTCTACACTACAGGATTAATCCGAATTTAGATAATTCGAATTTGGGAAACAGGTTGTATAAATTCGATTGTGCGCGGCCACACTAAGTACCTTAATTCGGTTTTAAACCACATTAATTCGGTGGTGTGCGGCCACACTACCCCATTAACTTAAACACAGTAATTCGGTGGTGTGCGTCCACACTAACCCTAATTCGAATTAACAAAATCGATTTAGGCTCTACTCCGTTCGTCGAGGTGGAGTACAGAAATCGATTTAAAGGGCCCTTTAATTCGAATTAACTGGCTCTGTAGTGTGGACGGGTGAAGGGTTAATTCGGATTAAGGCAGCTAAATCCGAATTAAAGTCCTAGTGTAGACCAGGCCTTAGATATGTGCATGCCTCCCTGCCCCCTTACCATATAGCCTGAGCACCTCACACCATACTCTTCTCTCTACTCCCATACATACCTGAGAGCATTCAGAAGGCCTTCCACGGTATCAGGAGGCTGTTCCTTTAAAACTTTTATGTACCCCTTCATCTAGAAACAGAAGCATATGACTATTGAACAATATAGAATTTGCAGTATATGAAAACAGATAAAAACCTAACCAATACAGGTCAGCTTTATTTCCAAATATGTCTCATACAGCCAGTGAGCATGAACAGTAAAATGTCATTATATTAACTAATGGGCAAGGGTGGCACCAAAACTTTTCCCAAGAGATTGCTGGCTTGGAGAGAAGAGGAGAGGAGAATTGCCTTCTGCAGAAAACTGACCCTTCATTTGAATAGGCCAGTCTGAAATACTGGAAGTATTCATACTAGGACATGCACTTTACACTTGAAATTAAGATTTGGGTCCCCTTTGCACACACTAAAATCTGACTTGAATATCTCCTGCCAGCCAATTCCTTTTTACTTTGTATCTAGCTACGTACACTGTTATAAACTTGGATTACAATAAAGTGCCAGGCAAATGATCCCCATTCATTTGATAACAGCATTGTGAAACAATCATCATATAGATTAGGAAAGCTACCATATACAACTGGGCTTTTGGCAACATTTCAAGTGTTTTATTTCTGTGGCAGCATGGTCTATTGGGTAAGACACTGGAATCAGGAAACCTGGTCCCACTTCTATCACTGACCTTGAGAAAGTCAATTTGCCTATATGTGCCTCAATTTCCCCACTGTAATATGGAGTCAGTGAAAGAGTCTTTGTAACGTGCTTTGAGATCTACAGATGAAATTATTATGAAAGCTAATATTACTATAAAAAACAGATGCACAAATTTTTTTGAAAGTGGTCAGTTGTTCATATGGGGGAAGGAAAGCTGTTAGGGAAAAAAAAGACAGTTACCTTTTCCATAACTGGTGTTCTTCGAGATGTGTTGCTCCTGTCTATTCCACAATAGGTGTGCGTGCTCGCCACGTGCGGAAGTTTTTTTCCCCCTAGCAGTACCCGTAGGGGAGTGCCCCAGCGACCCCTGGAGTGGCGCCTCCAAGGTGTGGTATAAGGGGCGCTGCGCGCTCAGCCCACCCTCAGTTCCTTCTTGCCAAACAACTCCGACAGAGGGGAAGGAGGGCAGGATGTGGAATAGACATGAACAACACATCTCGAAAAACACCAGTTACGGAAAAGGTAACGGTCTTTTCTTCTTGGAGTGATTGCTCATGTGTATTCCACAATAGGTGATTCCAAACTATATCTGCTGGAGGTGGGAAGGAGTTCACAAACTCTCGGGACGGAGAACGGCCCTGCCAAACCCGGCATCCTCCCTGGTCTGAGAGACAATCGCATAATGTGAGGTGAACGTGTGAACTGAAGACCACATGGCAGCCCTACAAATGTCCTGAATGGGGACATGGGCCAAAAGGGCAGCAGACAAGGACTGCGCCCTAGTCGAGTGCGCCTTCACAATTGGTGGCGCAGGGATTCCCGCCAGGTCACAACAGGTACAGATGCAAGAGGTGATCCAGTCGGAGAGCCGCTGAGTGGAGATCGGCTGACCTTTCACGTGCTCGGCTGAGGCGATGAACAGTTGCGAGGACTTTCTGAACGGCTTAGTCCGCTCCAGGTAAAAAGCCAGAGCCCATCTCACATCCAGCGTGTGGAGGCGGTGCTCCTCACTGGACGCATGGGGCTTGGGGCAGAGGACCGGCAGAAAAATGTCCTGACCCATGTGATAGGCAGAGACCACCTTCGGGAGGAAAGAAGGGTGTGGGCGGAGCTGGACTTTATCTTTATGAAACACCGTGTACGGGGGCTCGGAGGTCGGGGCCCTGAGTTCCAAGACCCACTTAGCCGACGTGATCTCAACCAGGAAGGCCACCTTCCATGAGAGCTGTGACCAGGAGCGCGTGGCTAGCAGCTCAAACGGGGGCCCCATGAGACGAGTCAACAGCAGGTTTAGGTCCCACTGCGGGACTAGGGGCCTAACATATGGGAAGAGACAATCCAACCCCTTAAAGAATAGGCTAGTCATAGCATGGGAGAATACCGTGTGGCCCTGCACCGGCGGATGGAAGGCCGATATGGCTGCCAGGTGCACCTTAATTGACAAGGGCGCCAGGCCCTGGGCTCTAAGGTGAAGGAGGTAGTCCAGAATAAACTGGATTGGGGTGGCCACCGGGGAAACGCCCCACTCGTCCACCCATCTGGAAAACCGAGACCACTTTGCCAAGTAGGCTCGGCGCGGGCCACCTGCTTTCTAGGAGGATGTGCTGAACCCCTTCCGAGCATATTCTTTACTCCCTACCTAACCATCTAGCAGCCAAGCCGTGAGGTGGAGTGCCGCTAGGTTGGGGTGGAGGTGGCGGCCCTGGTCCTGGGAGAGCAGATCCTGGCAGGATGGCAACGGCCACGGGGGATGACCACCAGGCCTGTGAGGGTCCCGTACCAATGCTGCCAGGGCCATGCCGGGGCAATCGGAAGGACCCGGTCCTTGTCCGTCTTTATCTTTTCCAGGACCTTGCCAATCAGTGGGAATGGGGGAAAGGCATAGAGAAACTGGCTTGACCAGGACAGGAGGAAGACATCGGAGATAGCACCCGTCTCAGCCCTCCCCGGAGCAGAACCAGGGACAGCGACGGCTCTGAAAAGGTCTGTGCACCGCCTCTGGGTGGAGAGACCACTTGTGCTGAGAGGAGAAGTCCCTGCTCAAGCGATCCGCCCATGCGTTCCGGGCGCCCGGCAGATGGAAGGCCTGTAGGCAGATGTCGTGGGCTATACAAAAGTCCCACAGCCTGAGGGCTTCGCGGCAGAGGGCAGAGGATTGGGCCCCACCTTGACTGTTGATGTAGAACATCGAGGCCATGTTGTCTGTGAGGACCCTGACCACCTGGCCCTCTGGGTGCGAGTGGAAGGCCATGCACACCAGCCGTACTGCCCTGAGCTCCTTGACATTTATGTGGAAGGTCAGATCCTGTGCCGACTACAGACCTTGGGTCTGAACGTTCCCCACATGGGCCCCCCATTCCAGGTCCGATGCATCGGACACCAGTTTCAGCGATGGGGTCCTGCCTCTGAACCGGAACCGCTGGAGCATATTTCTCGGGGAGGACCACCACCGTAGGGAGGTGATCACTGGCTCGGGCACCGTGAGGACTTTGTCCATCCTGTCCCTGGCCTGGGAGAACTCCGAGGCCAACCAGAGCTGCAGGGACCTTATCCTGAGTCTGGTGTGACGGACCACATACGTGCACGCCGACATGTGACACAAGAACTGGAGGCACGCTCTGGCTGTTGTCACCAGAAACCTTGTGACCATGTCGATGAGCCCCTTCAGGGTCTCAAACCTGTCCAGTGGGAGAGAGGCTCTGGCCGACGAGGCGTCCAGGACCGCCCCGATAAACTTTATGCGTTGTATCGGGACTAATGTGGACTTGGTGTTGTTTACCAACAGGCCCAAAGTGGTGCATGTGGACAGAGGGAGCGCCACGTGATCCCGCACCTGCGACCGGGAGCTGCCCTTGACCAACTAGTCATCCAGATAGGGGAAGATCTGGACCCCCCGGTGCCTGAGGTAGGCCACCACTACCGACATACATTTTGTGAATACCCTGGGGGCAGTGGACAGGCCAAAGGGGAGGACTGTAAATTGGTAGTGTTCCCGCCCCACCATGAAATGGAGGAAGCATCTGTGCCCCTTGAATATATGAATGTGGAAGTACGCGTCCTGCAGATTGAGGGTGGCGTACCAGTCCCCGGGATCCAGGGAGGGAATCATGGAGGCCAGGGAGACCATGCAGAACTTGAGGTTCACCATGTACTGGGTTCAGGCCTCGCTGGTCCAAGATGGGCCTGAGCCCCCCTTCAGCCTTTGGGATAAGGAAATAGCGGGAGTAGTACCCCTTGCCTTTGAACTTCCCCAGTACTGCTTCCCAGGAGCCGCCCACCTCCTGTTCAAGCAGAGCCTCATGCGAGGGTTCCCCCAGGAGGGAAGGGGACAGGGGGGTTGGCGGGGAGGAAGTAAACTGGAGGGTATAGCCCTGGTAGATGGTGTTGATGACCCATCGGTCTGAGGTCAGCCGCGACCACTCCAGGAGAAAAGCACACAACCGATTGGAGAAGGGAAGCTTTATTGAGGGTGGATCCCTGATGAGAACTGGCAGGGAGCCCCACAGATTGAACTCATACTGGCCCAGGAGAGCCTGGTGGTTCGCCACCCATAACTGGAAACTTAAGGACAAATACATTTTCCTTCCAAATGAGTCCAGCCTCCTTGAATCTTTATTTTTCGGGGTAGTGGCTGGTTGGCCCTGCCGTTCCCTGTGGCTGACCGATTCGACCACCAGGGAGTTAGGAGCAGGGTGGGTGTATAAGTATTAATGCCTCTTGGTGGGTACAAAATACTTGTGTTCCGCTCTCTTAGAGATGGGGGCCAATGAGGCAGGGGTTTGCCACAGGGCATTTGAAATTTTCGCCACCCCTTTGTGGAGAGGCAAGGCCACCCTGCCTGGTGCCAAGGAGGACAGTACATTAAACAGGGAGTCCGAGGGCTCCTCCATCTCCTCTGCTTGGAGGTGGAGGCTTGATGCCACCCTTTTTAAGAGTTCTTGGTGGACCCTAAAGTCCTCCTGCGGGACAGAGGGAGGAGGGGCTGTAATCGCCTCATCCGGGGAGGATAAGGAGGCTGGCACAATACTGTGTGTGTCCACTGGAGGGTCCACCACCTGGTCGGTCTCCGGGCACGGTGCCGAGGATGTACGTACCACTTACTCCTTCCTCGGAGGTCTGGTGATGGAGTCCAATGGTCCTTCTGAGGCTCTGGCCACCGAGCAAGCCCACTGAGGGCTGCATCAGCGGCCACGGTGCCCACTGGTACCATTGGGCCGGCCATGGGGCCCGGTGCCACTGCACCTACTGTGGCACCGGCGGAGCTGGCTGTTCGGCCTGGCTAGCCTGGCCCATCAATGGATGACTATGAAGGGAGGCTGGGCTGACATATGACCTACCGCTGTCCCTGGGCCGAGAGGAGCAGCAGTGCTGGGAGTGATGCCGACCACGGGAACGCAATCCTGACGTGGAGGACTGGTACCATTGATAACAGCTGCTCCACGATTGGCTCCGGCGGGTGGACCTGCGATGGTGAGACACCAGCGATCAACGCCCGGGGCTGTGGATGTGGTGCTGTGGTGGGGTCCTGGACAGGAACGACATCGACGTTCGTGCCGTGACCAGCTGCAATAGCCCCTCCGAGACTAGGACCTTTGGCGTCATCTCCCTCGGTCCTGTCGGTGTTCGCTCCTCGAGGCAGAGCGGTGCCGAGAGTCTCGGTCAGATGGAACCCAAACAGACAGCCTGGTGGGTGTTGAGGGTGATCCACGTGGACTTTGCCCTGAACAGTCGCTGGGCGAATGGCGTCGGGAACGTTCCCTTGATCAAGACCATTACCGAGCTGGGGGCGACTGCGGAGATCCCAGCGGCGGCTTGCCTCTGGAGCGCGGGGCTGACATCGGCGGTGCTCCTGGTATTGGCATGGACATAACATCCCGGGCCACCTGCAGGGCCTCCGGTGTGGAGAGCATCCAGGACATCCAGGGAGGCCTGCTCCGAATGGGCTGGGCTACTACGCTCTACTTGAGTCTGAGGCCTAGAGGCCAGTGGGGAACGAGGACTGCCCAACACGTGTCAAGCCTCTGTCCCGGGTTTGCCCTGTGGACGAGGAGCGGTGCCGACTAGTTGATGGCACCGAAGGGTTGCCACGCATCCACACCGCGGTGCCGACTCAGAGCTGCGTGCTGGAGGCGGGATCAGCGCCGATTCCATCAGAGTAGCCCGGAGCCTAATGTCCCTTTATCTCTTGGTCTGAGGCTTAAACGACTTGCAAATCTTGCAGCGATCGCGGAGATGGGTTTCCCCCAAACAGCGTAAACAGTCCACGTGCGGATCACACACTGGCATAGATCGCCAACAAGTGTCACACGACTTAAAACCCAGGGCACGGGACATGCCCCGGCCCGGGCGCGCTAGCTAAACTAAACTAATTAAACTAACTACCTACCTACAGGTACCATACACTGAACGAACAAGCAGTTTTGGGGATGAGCACCCCTTATACCGTGCCATGGAAGCACCACTCCAGGGGTCACTGGGGCGCTTCCCTAGGGGTACTGCTAGGGGAAAAAACTTCTGGCACCGGTGCATGTGGTGAGCACGCACACCTATTGTGGAATACAAATGAGCAATCACTTGAAGAACTTTTTTTCTTTTGTCACTTGCAGTTTAGTTTTGTTGAAGCTTAGCTGTTTAACTGATTGTAGATTTAAGTTTGTCAAAAGCACCTTGGATAAATAGGTAGGCACTTTTTTCTGTATGTATGCAAGACATTAAAGGTTGATTTCACTTCATGACTATGTTCACCTAAACTTAAGCTAAAACCTCTCAGTCAGCATTAAACAGATAAACTTTAGGCTTAGTTTGGGTCTCAGCCAAAATAGTAACCACACAAAATAGCTGGTTATTTAGATTAGAATCATGTCCAAAAAGTGAGAGTTTTAGAACTGACAAATTACAAGGTTAGTTTATCCCAGAATGTCGACACTGCAATTTTACTGTAATAGAACAGCTAGTAAAGCAACAGAACTGGCTTCATACAAGACAAATGAGCACTAATGTCTGATACAAGATTCAAAAACAATTGAAAATGATTTGTATAAAAACCTAAACTTCTATGGAAGAAATCTATAGACAAATATTTTGCAAATGTACAGAGCATTAAAAAAAAAAATCTTCCTTGTAAATTATGCTTACGTCAATCTTTGATGTCTTAGAAAAAGCTCCCACAGGATGAACATGATCATAGAGAATAATAACGCCCACCATTACTCTCATGCAGAACATAAGAGTCTTTTCACTGGTGAACCGACTTCTGTATTCTCTGGAAAATAAATTAAAAAAAAAATTCTTGACTGATTCTGCATAGCACAATTTTATTCTTTCATGTGTTTCACATGAGAACTTTATTCTCAAACTAGAGTATTAGTGCACGGAAATCCCAAATCTGATATAATAGCATTAAAAGTGTAAATCAATAAGCTTTTAAGGAAACCAACACCAGTAATGATCCTTGAATCAACTTGGCAGTTTAGAGAGAGAGAGAGAGAGAGAGAGAGAGAGAGAGAGAGAGAGAGAGAAAAAAAAAAAAGTCAGAAAACAACTGATGGTACAGTAAAATCGTCCACTACCTCTTCAAAGATCATATTATCGCCTCTATCAAAGCATGAATTTTAGACATTTACTGGAGGTCTCCACATATATGGAAGGTTATAAAGGTTGACAATGCTCATTATTCACTATTAGAACACCAAAACAATAGGAACTCACAGTAAGGCTACTTCTGTTTAAATATGAGTAGTGAACAGGTAACATTCCTACCAAGATTTTATTTGCCTTTTAAATGGTAGCCTCAGTATGTGGATGGCAAAGTTAAACAGTCACTACAACAGTTACTCCTTGAAATCATCATCAGGGAGGTGAAAAATGAATTGAGCAGAAAAGAGGCCTGAGACTAGTCTGTGTTATATTTCTCAACTACCTTCCTACATCAGAGGTTCAGATTAACTCCTTTATTGTTTTAATTGACAACTTTTCTGCTGATTTCTTAAATGAAAGTCAGCAATAGGAGAATGATGAACCTTGTTAATTTCCAAAAACTAGAAGCTGTACTTTACACTTCCTTTACTTTGAATTCCTGAACTCTATTTTCTCTTGTTTAAATAATGTAGTAACAATAATAGCATATAATCAAACAGGCTATGAGCACTTATATCTGGAAATGTCTGATAACTATTCAGTTGTCTCCTTTATGATTTAAAAAACAATGTTAAAATTATGCTTTTTACAAAGTTTTTAGGTGGTATTTTCAAAAGCAATCAGCATTTGCCTAACTCTGCTTCATATAAGTTTTACCACTGACTTCATTGGAAGCAGACAGGACAAAGCTGTGCAATTCTGAAAAATGTCCCATTCCTTATTTTATTGTCTTTAAAAAAAACCAGTTTTTTTAAATGTGGATGGCAATACAATCTCTTGCAAACAATAACTGTAGTCAATCTAGGGATAGGCATATTATCAGTGAAAACATCTGCTCCTGACCCCGAGTGGCCAGCAAACACAAACCAAACACCCCTTTAAGCTTATCAACTGGAATTCCATTACACCTATTAGCCACTCTAACTGAATGATTTTAATTCCTTAAATTTTCCTTAATTATGCTATCTTTTTGTAAGCGCATGGGCCTACATTTTGAAAGGCGAATGATTAAGGTGTCAAGATGGGTAAAAAAAATTTGATGCACTCAAAATAAAGAAGCGGATGCTTAACACTTATGTAAATCAGCTTCCTATCAGATGTCAAGATGGACAACCAAAAATTGAATCACCCAAAATAAGTCACTTTTCATTGCTCTCTTCTGAACGAAGAACAAGTTTAACTGTAATTTCTAGAGCATCTTTTTTAGAAAAAACATCCAATATCTTGATTTAAAAATTGTCAGTGATGGAGAATCCACCACAACCCTTGGTAATAACCCTTAGCTAAGATTAAGGGTCACTAATATATGAAATATGGAGCAGAGGGAGGATGAATTTAAAAAGGTCACCAGATTTTTTTCACCATCAGTAAGAATAAAATATTGTATCTTACATTTTATCATATTTAAGGCTTTGTTAATTCAATTCCTAGGACGATGATAATTTTTAGTATGTCATAGCTCCTGGAATGTTAGGGTAAATGAGAGTTCACTGGAGATGTACTACTACTACCTTCTTTGACCTTCAATATCTCCTCCCCTCCTCCCACCATCTGTTTAGAAGCATCATGCCAGGACATTTTAGAACTGGTAGATAAACTGCAGCAGAAGCCATAACAGTAAGTAAAATTAAGGGATTCCTTTCATAAAGATGGATTGTACAAAATAACTAAAACTAGACTACAATTAAAAAAAGCCAAAAAACAAACAGTGGCTTCCTCATTACACAATCTTTAGCTTATTTTATTTAAAGAAATCCCTTGGACCCAGTAAAATTATGTAATAGTCCCTTTCTAAAGGAGTAAGGGCATTTGAGTTAAAGGTAAAGACAATATAGTCTACGTTCCTTTTGTCATTTTAGTATACTCTCCCTCTGTTATTGTCTGCTGAGTACAGAAACCGAGCAGAGGGATTCTCGGATACCAACTCCTTATATGGCTTTAGGCATTTTCTTTTGCAGCCACACTTTCCCAATGTGAAAATATTAATCTAGGAGATCACAGCTGTATTATGAGGACTGAATTAACGTTTGCAGAACATTGGACACATGTACTCCTTGCTAACGTACAACGGGGTCCTGTTCTTGGGAAATAAATCAGTTATTCTGTTACTTACATCCCTCTCTTCTACAATGGGGACACTGATAGTATTTGATGTTTATATTGTGGTAATGCCTAGAGGACAAAACCCATCGTACTAGGCACTGTACAAGCATATAATGAGAAGATGGCCTCTACCTCCAAGAGTTTCCTTAATCTGAATAGGAAATGGATACAAACAAATTGGGAAGGGAGCACGGAGTAACAAATGACTATGATGAACTTGGTAAGCCATGGTCATAACACAGCAGTTTTTGTAGGCATCGAAGCAGAGGAGCATTTTGACGTTTCTTTTTTTGTTGCAGTTCTAACTATTTAGATAAACTTTATATATAAACTGTTGCAGTGAAGGCAGATTTGGCCAAACATCACAACTGAGTGTAAACTCTCTCCATTGGCTGGTTTACAGCAAAACAGAGATTAAATTTAAACAAGTTCCCTGATCAATAAAATATATACTTCTCCAGAACATCCAGTATTTTCAGAAACAAAAAAACAAAAACCCTCACCACCACCCAAAAAGACTATCTTTGTTCCCACCAGTTTGTCTATAAAAATGACATAGCTCAGATTGAAGTATCTGGTTTTGTGATATCAACTACAGGAAGATTACCTCATGTACAATTGTTTGGGGATCTTCTAAGAAATTAGACCCCCAATCCAGCAAAGCACAGAGTATGTGCATAGCTTTATGGATGCAAGTAGTCCCACTGAAGTCTATGTACCAATTCTAACACTCTTCTGAATCAGAGCCTTATGCTGTGAACCTCCCTGGGCAAAACTGTTAATTTATTAATGAAAAATATTCATACTAGTCAAGATAGGAGGCATGACTTCTTATGTTAGTTCTTTGCCTACTCATAAGTCTCATATGTATGCCTTAAATTAAAATATCTATCTTAGATTTTTATAGAGCAACTACCAGGCTGGTTGTTCTATAAAAACCTAAGATATTAGAAAGATATTTTAATTTAAGGCATACATACTAGACTTAGTTTGCAAAAACTGCTCACATGCTAGATGGCTACTTAAACAGACCAAAAAAAAAGATTGAACTGATAACTTACGGTGTTTCCAACATGACTTTACATACACTGGCCATAGTACTTAAACAGTCTGTTGTATTCTCAATCGGTAGGGTCTTGTTCTAGAAAAGTTAAACACAACCATGATCATTAAACCAACTTGTACAACTAAATATTAAGATTTTTTGCACTATTTTCTATCACTTACTTCTGATACAAAGTGTGTTGTGGCACTGCTGAGTGTTTTCAGCATTGGTGTGGCTTCTGCATAAAATAGAGACATTCTGTTGGCCATTTCATTATTTACTTCATTCTCAATGTCTATCTGATGAAAATATGAAAAAAAAGTAGTTAATAAATGACACTCCTTTCAAAATGTTACCAGCAGGGAGAAACAGATCAACTGCATACTCACTGGTGAGCCGTTATTTACATGAGTAGTCCCATTGCGGTCAATGGTACAACTTGTCTGATTAACTGCTCACCAATGTAAGGAGTTGACAATATGGTCTTTAATGTAGGCAGCTTGTAAACCAATGCAAAAAACATTACCACCAGGGGTGGGAACGCACATCCATAAACTCCAGAGTGGAAACAAAATGTCCAAGTTCCATTTACTTACATGCATATTGTTTATTCTGTTGCGATTTATTGTCCGTCTGTAGTAACTGAAGTCATTTTGAATGGCTGGATTTCTCATCTTAATGGATAAAAAGAATCAGTATTCAACACACTTCAAAATGCAAGGAAATGTTTCAGTGTATATTTAAAAAATATTTCTAACCTTAAGTTCATCAAAGCGGAGAGTAAAATGTAAGATTTCTGCAAACTCCTTGGCTAGAGCCTGTTCTCGTTCCAGGTGTTGAGTTGGAGTATAGGGTGGACAGGTCAATGATTCCAATAAGCTCTGTAGTGCTTTCTCTAAGGAAGATAAAAATCACACAAAATATTGTATAGTAAGTCATGGCTTCTGCATTTTTGACACAATGTCAATTTGTACCTTGATGCTTTATGCCATATGTATAGCTATTTTTGTAACAAACTTGATTTCTAAATAAGAATTTGTCAAGAAGAAAGGCCCTCTGTAACCTGCGGAGCCCTAAGGACATAATTAATAATTGTCCATAGGATTCTAAAATGAGGAATGGGGGCGGGGGGTGTGTGTCAAAAAACAAACAAAACAAACAAAAAACCTGGCTCCTCACTCTCTGCCATCACTCCCAGTTCTTCACATCATCCTGTTCTTCTCTCTCAAAAGAGACCTTCCACATCCCTAATTCTTTGACTGTCCTTCCCCCCTGTGGTCACCCCGCTCCACTTCAATATGAAGATGCTTCTGGGACCTCTGCCAAAAAGAATCCACCCTTCGTCACCGATGCCACTGGAGTCCAACATGAGGATTGCAAATGCAGAGTGAGGGACCTGGCAATACAGGATGCAGGGATAATCTCCTACAAAGGCTTTGGGAGGGGAAAGCTCAGCCAGGTGGACCTGAAGGTTGTCTATACTTGTTCCCCATTCCACTCAGGAGTCCTAACCCAGACCCTCTTTCCCAGCTCTCCCTTAGCTCAGGAAATTGACCAGTACTGATAGTGAAAACATACTCAAGGGCTGGCCAGAACCCTAAATGTTAAAGCATATGGCTTCGTGCTGCTTTTAATAAATTCCCAAAATTACATCAGGATAAATTTATGTTCAGATCTGTGCAAATAGAACCTACAGGCTTCCCAGAAGAGAGAAATCTAGGCACTGTGGTCAAATTAATAGTACAACGTTTTACTGTGAAACTTTCTAAGCTTTCAGAAAAAGAGAAGCTTTGTATATCTGTATATGAAAAAATTATCGGTTAAACCAAATATATGAGGCACTCACCTAGTCTGAGTGAAAACTCATAAAACTGCTTCAGCCTCAGAACCAGAGGACACACTGAATTCCAAGCTTTTTCTTGAAGTTGGATATCATTTGGGTTTTGTATTGCCTGCAATGACAATATTACTGTAAATATATATGACACTGGAGTAAAGAACCAGGCTTTTGTAGATGTATAGATATAGGAAGATTGCCAGTATGGTAGTTTTTAAAATATTTCTTGAAAAAAATCTAGAACAATTGTAAGAAAAAAAGATGTTGAATGAGGAAAAAAAAAAAGCCAAAAATACAAGGTCAAGGGCTTTTTAAAAAACAGCAAACCAAAAATATCAAGGCATCTGTTTCAGCTGTGATAGAAACAACAACATTTAATGCAGTCCTGGGAACTATTTTAAAACTATTCATTTGAAGTGCAGCACCCACATACAGGAGCATGCTTCAGAATCATCTTTTAGGTCAAAGTATCCATAGCAGAAACATTAACAGAGGCCATTTGTACTACACTCACACTGAAAAGGGTTTACAGGGTCAAAGCTTGGTCCCTTCACAGTGAATGGGAGTTCTGTCATTACTTTAGTAGTAGGTTTCGGCTGTTAAGTGACCAATTGCTCTTACTAATGATAATCATGAAGATCTTGTATCAGAGAGACCGAGACACCTATCTTGGCAAATGCCCTAGGTTAAGTGAGAGCTAAAGCTGACAGATACAATTCTGAATGCTAGCAGATAATTATAGCAATTCAGAAGCTTTCCCTTAGACGATCACATGTAGAATTGTAATTGCAGTGTATTTTTATGGTGTCATTTGACAGTCTTACATAGAACAGAAACTATTTTGCATTTTTCTTATGTTTACAGTGCCTTAACGATATTGAAATATTTTTCTAAATATGGATGTTGATTTTTCCCCCCATAAAGGTACATAAAATGTGTTTTCCGAGAACCAAAGTACAGTATTTAATTGTATTAATATTAAGATGTTTAAATGAAACACCACTGACAGTACTGAACCTATCACTGAAAGAGTTAATGTAATTTAATTCTAAATATCTACTGTATTTTATAAGTACAGTTTTACTGAGTACTTTTAATATAAATAACTTTTGTGAACTGTCTGGCATGCAAAGTAGAAATAAATACTGCAGGCTATTACTTGATGTTTCTTCAAGAGAAATGTCATTGCTATATTATCATACATCTCTTATTTCTTGTCCAGCTCCTTTGTAAGCCTGAAGGTCTGCAAGCAAGCTTTCAGAATCCTGTAAAACTGCATTGATCTGATTCCATACCTCCCTTTCTCCATCTGTAGGCTGTGCATCTAAGAAACATAAAAAGCAAATACACGTCACATTAGAAATGAAATATGAATGTCAACATAATTCAGTTCCATTTATGGAGTTAACTCCAATTGGATCAGTCATAATTGATTCTGATTTTATTCTGGTACGACTCCACTAACTTCAAATAAGTTATTCCTTTACATCAAAGAAAGAAAGAAAGAAAGATCAGAATCAGGCTCTGATCCAAAGCTGATTCAAGTCAATTCTCGTTAATTTTGGTGGGCTTTAGATCAGAACCAGTGTCTTTGCTCAATTCTCCCCCCACTCCTCAAGTCAGTACACTCAAATGTTCAAAATATTTAGAGAGACAAGGTGGGTGAGGTAATCTCTCTTATTGGACCAACTTCTGTCGAAGAGAGAGAGACAAGCTTTCAAGCTTACACTTGAATAACAGCTCTTCATGTGTAAGCTCGAGAACTTGTCTCTCACCAACAGAAGTTGGTCCAATAAGTGATATACCCTCATCCAACTTGTCTCTCTTCCATGCTGAGACTGACAAGGCTACAACAACATTGCATAGAAAAAAGTTAGAGGTATTTTTCAGAAGTAAATAAATTAGAAACTAGGACAACCTAACTGTGCTTAACTGAAAGTTTCCTTTCTTTGAGTAATAAGGTCCACAAATCCATTACAATGGCTACTTCAGCCTCCTTGCAGCTTGAGGGTAGAACCAGATCTGTCTGTCCCGGGCAACAGGAAACAGCCCCATCCATGAAATTCCCTCTATTTAGGACAACCGTGACAGCCCATATAATTCACTTCTACTTTCCTAACTTAATACAAGACTTTAATTAATTAAAACTGTATTAAGTGAAAGAAACATATTTTGTTCAGAGTTACAAGCATTTCAGAGTTATGAACAACCTCCATTCCCAAGGTGTTTGTAACTCTGAGGTTCTACTGTAAAAGTCTGAACACAGCCAAGAGAGCCAACAAGTGCCCATGCTAGATACAACTGCCCTCAGTGACACATCACCATCACTTGAAACACCTGCATCTGAAGTCTGGTTGCCTATACGCTCACTGGTTATCACTGAACTGAACTGAAAGTTCACTGCATCTCTCTTGGAGGAAAATAAAATACACAGGAAAGTGGGACCTTCTTCACCAGTTTCAAGTGATGCTTGCCTAATATGAATTGCCAGCACTACCAACTGGTAAATCCCGTATCAAAGCCTCCAAAGTGGCCGGCTTTGCCTTTTACAACCTCCACCAGCAAATTGTCATGAGGAAGGTGGAAAACAACTAGTGTAACCCCTTGAGAGAAAATACTTTGTCAGACCCATTACAGATAGAGAGGGAGCTGCAAGGATGTTGTTATTCAACAACTAGTCATGAACAAGACAATGGTAATCATTTACCCTGTCTGTAAGAGCAGCCTCTTTGAGGTACTCCTCAAAATGCCTACCATGGGGTCCTAATGGTCTCTGAAGCAGAAGGGACAATCCAGGCCATTTTCCTACGAACAGTGGAGTCAGATGTTCCTGGGAAGAAATCATTGTGTCTCCTCCTTCTTCACAGAGGGGAAAAAAACCCAACTTGCCCTCAGTTTCCCCAGGGTCTAACATCCCTGATTCAAATGATCTGTTCCAGACCATGCAGTTGCTGGAAATGTAGCAACTGCCAGGTATGCATCAACATTAGCTGTGCAAAAAGCACTGTCAGGCAGTGCCTTGCTTATCCATCAAATATACAAAGGATTGTCTCTGTGATGAAGCTGGTGCAATTACCTGGGATATCACTAAAATTATACGTCATGAGGACGATATAAAGCCAATCAATATATCCCGCTGTCCCTAAGAATTTGCGATGTGGACCAAAGGCATTGAAGTTAATGAGGCTGGGCTAATGTGAGGTCTTGGGTGGCCTCTTCAGGGAGTTGAAAATGAAGCCAAACGAAAGTTAAAATGTCTCCTCTTGAAGCAGACCAATCTTGGCATGTCACTAAGTGAGGCATCATATCTGCCAAAAGCATCACACCTGTCTGGCTTTGACGGACCCGAACATTAAGGGAGCATAATGCCTTGAAGGCATTGCTTTGAGCCTATCTTGTCAGCACTGCCCCTTGCTACATAGCTCATCACCCAGCACTGATAATACAGAGAACAGCATAGAATGAAAGATATACTATGTATGCTGTAGTCATGTCTTAAAATCACAGCAACATTGTTTCTACACCCTCATTTATCAAAAGCAATTAGACAAAAGGTATTTTATGACCTTGAATACCCCTCTCCCCCAGCATTACTTGTTACAGCAAATACTATACTTAAGAGGACTCCAAACACCATTAAATGCAATGAATTTTTTTCCAAAAAGTATTAGGTAGAGATGCTAATCTCTCCATGGTTAAGATTTAAACAAAATTTCCTTATAAACTAGATTGAGTTTCCTACCTTCTAAATTAGTCAAAATGAAACCAAGCCACCTGAAATTTCATGAGTATGATCATGTGCAAGGAATTTTTTTTTTTGATGTTTTCAGCAAAGGCATTTCATGGATGTGTTTACAAAAAAGTAAGGCAGTGGTTTCACTTTTTCTGGCTCCAACTCCAAATGCAGCTTTCGCTTCTAAACTTGTTGGTCTTGGCAAGGACCAATGCACCTTTGGTGAGGATTTTTTTTTTTTTTTTTTTGGAAAGGTGAAGGAACACTTAAGGGAGAAATTATAGCTACTTAAAAGCACTTTTATGTATGTTAAAGGAACTTGCATGCCTGTTTTTTCAGAGTCTAGGAAGTTCACAACACCCGCATGCCAACTTCTTGAACTTAAAGCAGCCCGGGTACTTCCACTGAGCAGAAGTACCCAATAGGCCACTAAGGGAGTATCAACCTCATAACCCACATTACTTCCTGGATGCACTGCACTTGCAAAGCAACAGAACCTGGGATTCATGGGAGAACTGCATTCCTCAGTGTGAAGTTGCAAAAGTGGATGCCTAGGCAAAGGGCCTGGTCAATCTCGTTCATCATCCGCATGCTCTCAGGCCTTCACTGTGCAGATCTGAGGGGAATAGGAGGAGCATAAGTTCTAAGAACTTAAGACAGTTGGAACATGACATACTATAGATATCTACTACTTCCAACGGTTGATGCGTCTATTCGTGTTTTAACAGGAAACTTGATTCTCCATCCGGAAGTTGCAAATGCTTTGAGCAATGGAGCTGACAATATCTGATTTCACAGTGAAGTTGCTAGCCAGCCTGAAGAGGGGATCCTTGGAAGCTTTATGACTATTTCTGCAAATTGTAATTAGCTGACAATCAATCTAACTGAGACCCAATAACTTTTCTAATTGAATTGAATTCAAGCTCCACTGTTTTCTTGCTCTGAAATCACTGGGATATGAATAAAAAGTGTCTTGGATATCATTTTCAGACTCTAGTGTCTCAAATTAGGCACATAAATTCCCATTTAGGCAGCTAGTCAGCCAGCTTGATTTTGAAAAATGCTAAACACCCACAACTATAATTGGCCTGGAAGAAAAAAAAACCAGGTTGATTACTTAGGTGCCTAAATACAGACCTGAGACAATCTAGTTTGAAAGAATTGGTCTTAGGTTTAGCATCTCTTGGGAATAAAATGGTTATTTGTACTAACAGCCCCAAATTCTCTGGTCTGTCGTTCCAAAGTTCATCATAATTTTTGAAAGCCACCTGAATAGAAATGAGAACAAATATTGGCCAATAGTTCAAAAATGGAATGTCAAGTTCTGTAGGATACTATTTAACTTACATTCAGTTCCAAGTGGTTTTGGAAGTGCCCCTGCTTTTAGAAAGTGAAAGGTATTTTGGGGGGGGGGGGAAGAGAGAAGAGAAGTAGTACATGGAAGAGAAGAACTGCTCAAGAAAAAAAACTTCCAAAATAACTTGTGAGGCTGCTATAAAACAGAACTCCTTCAAAGTTCAAAATGGACTGTTTTTGTTGCTTTAAAGAAAACGCTAAAGTATTCCCAGCAAGATATTTTTTTCTGCTTTCTTTGTACCCCTGAAAAAGGGCCTCCATGGGCAGCAATAAACTGTGGCAGTAAATCCTTTAAGAGAAAGAGAAAATTCAGCGCCTGCTGAGAACAGCCTCAGGTACTCAGGATTCAGTCTACTAGCCATTAATTTAAACATGGTCAGACCCAAACAGTACAATGCCCCTTGAATTAACAAAATGCACATCATGGAATTCACCATAAGTGCTAATGAAAGTTTTCATTAGTTGTGATGCCTAAGATTCACATGACCAATTGGGAGTTATTAAGATTCTGTCTCTGTATCATTTACTCTATCAACGCAAAATTTGATGGGGTAAGGGGAAGAAGTATAGGAGGTGTCTAATCAATCCAAATCCAAACCTGTTTGAATGAAAATGCCTGCATCACCAATGCCTCGTGCTTCAAGAAGAATGCTCATTTGTTTTATTGTTGTAAGTAAAGTAAGATTATACTGGTAGTCCTTTATCAAAGTGATATGGCTTACGTTTATCTGGTCTGCATCCTACTCTTACAGAAGGGCTTTTGAAATTATTTTCCCCCCCACCCCCCCACTCACAGGAGATAAGACTTGCTTCCCGAAGTGGGATATCATTTGCTGGAGAGACTGTCTTGAGCACTGTTATTTGGTTTCAAGTCTGGAGTGAAAGAAGATGATGGAAGCTGCTGAATCTACTCAGCTGTTATATTGAGATATGTGCTGTGATTAACAGCTTTGATTTTTGCCTGTCTAGTTTTTGTTTTTTTTTTTTTAAATTTGTCTAGGTTCTTATGGCACTGATCACCACAGTACCTGCCCAACTCAGGAAAACTACTCCTGTGTACACAGAACTCCCTTTGCTTGCAAGACAATATTACAGAAAAGTATAATGGCAATTTTAAAGTATTACCTCCTTAGCTCTTACTTCCATCTCCAGCTCAGAAGTATACATTCTTGTCAAGATAATGCAGGAAAACATCAGAAGAAAAAACTACACTGATCACATAGCTGGTTACATGA